AAAACTCTGCTATCTGTGTTGTAACTCACATCAAATCCTTTTAATCCATTACCTCGATGCTTGCTGAGAATTTTCAGCTGTTGCGCAACCCTAATATTCTTCATTTCCTCGCAAGCAAATTTCTAGAAGCAATTTTAAGAGATACACTCTATTACCAGTTCAACAGAAAAGAGGTTCTGAAGAGACCTTAACATGGCTTCTGGAAAAGATCTGTTTTCAAATACTCACATGAGGTACTACATGATAGCCTATATGGCAAATCTCTGAGAGTTTAGGTTATATCCTCTTGAACTGAGCAATTTTTGAGAGTGTCTGCTGTTCTCCACTATCTACATTAATAAAGTAAATTAAAGCATCATACAAACTGTACATTTAGAGATGACACAGAATTGTATTAGTTAAAAGCCTTGTATGAGGAAAACCAATCAGATTAGATTGGGTGAATGAATTCACGTCTGGTGGATGATATTTACTGCAGACAAATGAACAGACTTGCTTTAGTACAGTATTTCATCTCTCTTGCGCACAGTAACAAATGACCTATATCCTTCAAACCTTTGACCCTGGCCTTTTACACTTTTTGCCTTGTCACAGAATCTTCAGCTGTCTCAGCCCTAATATCTGGGCCATTCTGCTTCAAATAAAAAGCTATATTTTAAACAAGAAGAAATCATTGAACTTTTATTACAATTCTCATAGTGACCAGACATCTCAAAGTAAAATACTTTTCAAAAGCATAGTCACTCTTCTAATGTAGCAGCCAATTTGCACACTACAAACTAACAGCACCGCAGTAATGACCAAATAATCTTTTTTTGTGATGAGGGGAGATTGTTGGTCAGAACATTAGGGGAAACTCCTTTTTCGAAGTCGTATCACGACATCTTTTGCATCCCCTTGAGCCGACTGGGACCAATCTCAGATTAAGAAGTTGCACATTTAAGGCAGAGATGAGTAGGAATTTCTTTCTGCGAGGGTACTATTATCAGATCAGCCATGATCTCACCGAACGGTGGAGCAGACTCGATGAGTTGAATGGCCTACTTCTGCTCCTACACCTTATGGTCTTACGTAACTCTGGGAGAAAATTAAGGGATACTTTGGCATAATGCACCATACAGCCGGGGGTGTGGGGGCTACTTTCTTATCAAAGAGTATAACAGGGAGGAGGGGGGCATAGTGTTTGATTGAGAATGAAAGGTCAAAAATTAAGGGAGAGCAGCAAACAACCTGGTACACCTGGCTCAAATATGTGTAAACGTCCAAACAGTTGGTCACGCCGACCTAAGCAGCCAGGTGGGGGTTGGTTTGTCGGAAAGACAGCGCAGCCCTCCATCGGTCTCGATTTCGTGCAGGGCTCAAGCCTTGGGGTGGGATTTGAACCCAGAATGTCCCATTACCCGGTTTAGTGGGATCTTAAATTTAAAAAAAAGTAAACAAAGTGCTGGAGAAACTCGTCAGGTCTGCCAGCTTTTGTGAGGAGAGAATGAATGTTTCCAGTCTGGTTTGACTGCACTTCAGAAACCTTGCTGTGCTCCACAGTGACCGGCATCAAGGCCCAGCCTCACCTCTCCCTCAGAGCCCGTCTCCTCCTCCTCCGGAACCTCGTCCTCCTCTCCAATCGTCCTGATTAAGTCCAAAGTAGCCATGGAGTCCCGACAAACCGATTAGAAACCGGCACGTGTGAGGAAACTTCAGCCTACGGGAGCAAAACGTTCATCGCCAAAACCCGTCCGCAGCAGAAGCGGCGGCTGGAACAAACAGTCCGCCCAACAATCGTTCCGGGCAATGAGAGTGAAGGCACAATTGTATGGCCAGGGACATTGCCAAATACATTTCAAACCTTTAGACTACCCTCGGAGCACACATTTTCTACAGTTTTGTTAGGAAATATTCATGTTAAAGGAAAACATTCTCTTTGCAATTACCTCCCTTCTGCACAAGTCATTCACTGAGGTTTTACTTTTTCTTTGAAAACTCTATTCCCTTCCAGATAAGCAGTGACTTCATTGTCCAGTTGCCCTACAAGCTTGCAATTTTAAAGAAGCTTGATTAGACTTTACCTAGAGAACTGTATGCAGATTTTGTCCCTTTATCTTAGGAAAGCTCATACTGCCATAGAGGGGGTGCTGCAAATGTTCAACAGACTTGTCCCTGGGATGGCAATGTTGCTCTATAAAGAGAATTTGGACAAACTGGGCTTATATTCACCAGCGTTTTCAAGAGTGAGACACAATCTCTGAAACTTGTAAACTACTTTAAAGGATAGACAGGGCAGAAGAAACGTTTTCCCTGGTTGGAGAGTCAAAACCCAGGGGTGCAATTTAGAAAATAAGGGATTTCCATTAAGGACAAAGACAAGGAGAAATTATTTTACCTGGATGGTTGTGAATCTTTGGAAACTGGGATCACAGAGGGCTGTGGAGACTCAGTAGTTGGGTATGTTTAGAGGTTTGATAGATTGCAGGGTACCGATGATGTAAAAGATTATGGGATAGTGTGGGTAAAAGGCATTGAAGTTTTCGATCAACAATGATCATATTAAATGGTGCAGCAGACTTGAAAGGCTGAATGGCCTACTTATGAACCTATGTTGAGTGTTGTTGTAGCTGCACTCAACAAGCCAACAAGGGTGTGTCCATCATGACTTGTGCCTTGTTGACTGTAGACAGACTTGGAGTCATACAGTTGTACAGCACAGAAACAGACCTTTCGGTCCAACTCATCTATGCCAACCAGACATCCTAAATTAATCTAGTCCCATTTACCACCATTTGGCCGATATCCCTCTAAACCCTTCCCTTTCGTGCACCCTCTTAAATGTTGTCATTGTATCAGCTTCCACCACTTCCTCTGGCCATTCATTCCATATATTGGGTATTAGGAGGTAAATTATTCACTTCAGAATTCCAGACTATAATTTGTTCTTGGAGCCACAGTATTTACGTGGCTAGTCCAGTTTCTTAGAGATAGTTTGGCTGAATGGCCTGTTTCCACACTGGACATTCTATATAAAAAAAAACTGCTGATGCCGGAGTCAGAGATAACACAGGGTGGAGCTGGAGGAACACAGCAGGTGAGGCAGCACCAGAGGAGCAGGAAAGCTGATGTTTCAGGTCGGAACCCCTCTTCAAATTTTCTGAAGAAGGGTCCCGACCCGAAACGTCAGCTTTCCTGCCCCTCTGATGCTGCCTCACTTGCTGTGTTCCTCCAGCTCCACACTGTGTTATCCCAGATCAGTTTCTTTCTTTCTTTAAGTTTCACAATACTCAAAAAAAACCTTGGGATATTTTATTACATTAAAGCTGCTCTATAAACAAAATGTTGTTATCAGAGGTGGTCATTACCTGACACTTATGTGGTGAAAGTGTTACTTGCCAGACATATCAAACAAAGCTTAATTGTTATGCAGGTCTTGCTGCCTAGGGGCACACATTGCATTATTATCCGAGGGGTTGTGATTGGACAAAAGCACTATAAAAGCTCAGTCGTTGAGTATTTTTGATGTAAAAGTTGTCAGATTTCTGATTACCAACACAGAACGGGGTTATGGGGTTATTGTGGGTAAAAAGCATTGAAGTTTTCAATCAGCCATGATTGTATTAAATGGTGGAGGGGGTTTGACAGGCTGAATGGTCTACTCCTGTTCCTATGTATGTTGAAGTTAATGTTATTTTCTGTCATAAAATCTGAATCTAGTTGCGCAGTAAAAACATACAACCATGACAAGCAAAAAACTGATCATTAACTTCAGAAAGAAAGAACACACCCCCATCTACATCAATGGAGCTGAGGTCGAGAGTGTTAAGAGTGTCAAGTTCCTGGGTGTGACGATAACCGACAACCTGTCCTGGACTTCCAAGCAGATGTAACACCTGTTCCTCCTCAGGCAGCTTAGGAAATTTGCAATGTCCATAAGGTCCCTCACTAACTGTTACAGATGCACCAGGTGCATAATGGCCTGCTATAGCAACTGTTTTGCCAGGACCATAAGAAACTACAGAAAGTCATGTGCACAGCCCAGAGCATAAGGGAAGCCAACCTCCCATCCATGGACTCCATTTATACCTCTTGTTGCCACGGAAAGGTTGCCAACATCAAAGATCCATCCCACTCCAGTAATGCTCTCCTACAAGCACTTTGGTCAGGCAGAAGATACAGAAGCTTGAACACATGCACCAGAAGGCTCAAGAACAGCTTCTTCCCTGCCATTATTAGACTGATGAACGGACTTTCTAACTTCAAATAATGTTGATTTTGTTAATGCTGATCTTGCCTTGCGCACATCCTATGTGCTAAAATGTTTATGGCCTCACGCTGTCCAAGTTCTTTTCACCCTATGATGTGTATGTCCTTGCTTTCTATGATCTACCTGTATTGCTCACAGACAAAGCTTTTCACTATACATAGGTACACGTGACAATAAATCAAATCAAATCAGCAACAAGTACTGGTCTAAATGGGCAGGTGCAAGCAGCTCTTTCTCTTCTTTGTTTTTCATGTCATCAAGACTTTGCAACTTATCCAAAAATGTTAGCATTAGTGAACCTCAGGACTTTTTCTCACTTCTCCACTAGGGTCTCCCATAGTCTCTTGCCTTATACTTTATTCTTAGGCTGGACACCTGAATTGACTTTTATTATGCCTCTATGGTCTTTCAACAATTTATTTATGGAACACTTTTATAAAACTTCTGAGTTATTTATTGAAACCTTGAGTTGAAAAGCCTCACTTTATAATTAGCTGTTATAATAACTGGTCAGTTTAGTTGTTGTTATTAACCAATGAATAATTCGCTAACATTAAATTTCAGTTTACTTCCACACACTAATGAATGTATCATGTATTTCAGCAGCACCTAAATGAGATAACATTATATGAAAAGTCTGCAGCTTTGTAGTCTAGTTGTTTATATCTACCGTTCGCTCTCCCAGAGTTGTCAAGACCTTATCTGACCACAGTCCCTTTCTGGGCTAGGTATAATTGTCATCAATTCAGAATCATAATTTAATGAGCTTTATTTCTAGAGAAAGAAAATCTTATGCAGTTTCCAGTGAAACAAAATTAAAACACCATCTTATTTCTTTACTCTCATACACTAAGCATTATGCCAAATGTTTAACAGAGTGCTTTCAGGGACTTTTCCCTTTGCTGTATCCACCACACCTAGTTGTTTTTTTTTGATATAGAGAATCTCATTGGCTGAAGACTGGTATCCATGTAGCTTGTGATCTCAGGAGGAGGCTTAAATAGATTATCAATGTCATTTCTGGCTGAAGATAGCTGCAAATGCTTTATCCTGGTATTTTCAATTAATGGTCAGCCCTACCATCATTGAAGATGGGGGTATTCATGGAGCATCCTTTGCTAATTAGTTGTTTAGTTGATCCCCACCATTGATAACTGGATATGAAAGAACTGCAATACTTTGATCTGATCTGTTAGGAATAACGGCCTAGGAATTAGAACAATGACCTCTTTGCCTTGTCTATAAATATGCCACTTCTACTGTTTAGCATGCAGTACTGTAGTAGCTGCATTAAATTAGCATCTCATTTTTAGATACACTTGGTCCTAATTCCACAATCCTCATTGAACAATTAATTGTCTCCTGGCTTGATGGTAAAGTGAGGGATATTTTAAGCAAGATTATTGTTGAATAAATTCTGGTGCTCCAATGACCCGCAGTGTCTCCTGAATGTCCATCTTAGGGCTGTTTGATCTATTCTGAACTTATCCCATTTGGCTCAGTGGTATTGGATCTGGGGCTGGAACCACTTCAAAAGTAACATGCTGGGTTCGGAGGATGGATGAGCCAGGGCGACCAGATGCCCCCAATCCTTTAAAAAGTACAAATGCCTTGAAGCACCACACAGTGGATTGTTATGGAGTTTGGATTCTTACTGGGACTCGGAGTGAATTAAGCTATTAGGTTGTAATAAAGCTCTACTACCATTCCAAGTCCTAAACACCCACCAGGTACATCTGGGCAACAAGTGCTAGACTTGTCAGTGATGCCCATATTTTGGGCATAAATTTAAAACTTCACTGCCATTGGCCAAGAATGGCTAAGATATCATAATTCAAGGAGTGAAACTGAGTGTTTCTAGTTCTTTTTTGTCTTTCAGGGACTTTACTTCCTCCAGAACTAAATCAGGAAAACTAAAAAGACAAAAAAATAGAAATTGCTTGAAAAGCTCAGCAGGACAGCAAAGTTCGGAGGAAGGGTCACTGGACCCAAAATGTTAACTCTGATTTCTCTCCACAGATGCTGCCACACCTGCTGAGTTTTTCCAACAATTTCTATTTTTGTCTCTATTTTGCATCCGCAGTTCTTTCAGGTTTTATTTAGGAAAACTGAAACATTGGCTAACTTATTTTCCCAGGCAGCCATAATTGTAACTATAAGTGATCAAGATTTAATGTCACATGGCTCATACTATCACAAATTATTATATAAAGCAACAAATAAAACTCCACTTTCTGCAAACCAAGTGCATGGAAAAAACCAATAAGATGGTTACGAAAAGGATCAGCATTTAATTCGGTAATCCAGCAATTTTAATCTTAAAGTTCATTGGCCAAGTATTCAGCCATGGCAAGTTATTGCAACTGTTCAAACCCCAAGTAAAATCTGGGGAAGAAAGAAGAGGGAGTTGGCCACTAATGGACATGATGGATAAAGTGGCCCTCTTCTTTTATAATTCAAGGATTAATGATTTCAGATATTATAATCCCAATGAAAATCCTTGTGATAAATCTTGGAACTTGAGCAATGTTGGCAAAAATCCCACATCTTTAATGGCCCAAGTTGCATATGTGCCTTCCATGTTTTCCAAAGTAGCTGTTCCTCCAGTACATGGTGTTGTGCCTAGTTCTCACCAATTTACAAGTCATAAGCAACTTTCAGCTCTTCAGAGTCTTTTCAATGGCACTCATCTCTTCTTGGGTTAAAGGGGAAAGGTTGAATCCTTTGAGTTCAGGTTTTCCTAGAATACAAATGGTTTAAGTTAAGAGGATCAAAATCATCAGCAACAATTGACATCAGTATCCCCAACACTGCTCATATTACAGAGAAGCTTACAGATATGAACTGCCTTTACCAAGTAACCATGACGCAGAGGTGCCAGTGTTGGACTGGGGTGGACAAATTCACTTCACCTGACAAAGGAGCTACGCTCTGAAAGCTTGGGATTTCAAATAAACCTGTTGAACTATAACCTGCTGTCGTGTGACTTCTGACTTTTAAAGTAAGACCGAGTAAGTTCCCAAGCAAAGTTATTTGACGTCAGCCAGATTTTCAACATACAGCAACTGTTTTAATATAGTATCTTTACTAGTGTAAAGCATTCCAAAGTACTTCACAGAAGTATTGGCAAACAAAATTTGACACCTTGCTATATGAAAGCTAACAGGATAAGTGATCAAAAATGTGGTCAAAAACAAAAGTTTTGAAGGAGCGTTAAGGTCACTAATGGTAGTGAAGGAAATTGGGCATGTGCAAGAGACCAGAAATGGAGCAGTTAAAAAAAAAGTGTTATAGACTTGAAAAAGGTTAAGGATAAAGAGTGAGTAAATTGAAAAAAAAAATTGGTTTAGAGGATTTTAAATTGAGGAATAAAAATTCATGACAGTTTAGATACAGTAAGCTTTGGATATTCATTCAAATTAAAGTAGGAAAGTAGGGAAGGACATTAAATTTAAAGGAAATGTTAAGAAGAATTATTTTACTTGCAGTAATTATTTTAAATAATCTGCCTAGCAGAGTTTTAGAAGCAAATCTTGAAGAACGGCTACTTACAATGACATTTAGGGCACGAGAGGGGTCAGCTTCAATTGACTATCCTTATCCCAAAAAAGTTTTATTTAAATTTCGGTGTTGTCTGACTTCTACTCAAATGTGTGAAAACTTATATGGAGGTGTAGGTGGACTAAGCAACTTCAAAGGAAACTGGCCACTGTAGCAAATCTGTTCCTTGCTGAACACCTTCATGTGTAAACTGTTAGAAGAGCAACAGGGTTCATTCACTCTCTGCCATGCAGGATAATATATCAATTCCAGTGCCCCATCATTCTACAAAATCAGTTAGATCAGGAAACAGGGTTGAAATGATCAAAGGCCACAGGCAATTGTAAGCATACACAACACATACAGAGAGTTAAAGGAACAGGTTAAAAAGTCACCTTGAGCTTCATTCAAACGATTAACTTTCACTTTCAGCTGCTTATAAAGCTTATGTATCTCTTCATCCAATTGTTCTTGATCTGAAATATCAAAGTAATGTTTATGTTAAACCAAGGTAAATATTCATTATCAAATTATCACCTATGCAAATTGATAAAATGTGACTTATTGAGATCCATTATATAGTTCCCTAGTTCCATGTTATTTTTGCTTAGCTCAGCCTGCTATAGCTGTAAGCTATTCGGGCTAACTGGTCAGCGCAAAGACCCCTTCCTATTCTGTGCGTACTGACTTCTTTGATGTACTTATGTGTATTCCCCTTAGAGGCCTCTATTTGATTGGCTCAACTATTCCATATAGTGCATTAATAACCTTGCACTCTTCCAACAGGCAGAATTAGGAACTAGAAGTTGACATTTTTGGTTAAAAGAACAGTATATCAAACTAAACTGAAGCTGCTTTCAAGTGTTCTTGATCCCATCATAGATGGTGGGGGAAGAAAATAAGAGTTAAGAAATAGGAGCAGAAGTAGATCATTCAGTCCTTTGAACCTGCTCTGTCTTTCAATATGATCATGGCTAATCATCCAATTCAATACCGTTTCCAATATCCTTTGATCCCTTTAGCCCAGAGTGTTATATTCAAATCCTTCTTGAAATTATACATTTTGGCCTCAACTGCTTTTTGTGGTAATGCATTCCGCAGGTTCACTACTCAGTGAAGAAATTTCTCCACATCTCAGTTCTAAATGGTTTACCCATATCCTTAGACTGTAAGCCTGGTCTCCTCTGCCATCAGGAACATCCTGCCTGCATCAACTCCGTCTAGTCTGTTAGAATTTTACAGGCTTCTAGAAGATCCTCCCTCATTCTTCATAGCATTCTGTTTGCTGGTACTAACAGATTCAACCTCTCTTCATTTATCAGTCCTACCATCCCAAGAATTCAGTCTGGTAAACCTTTCTGCACTCCCCTCTAAAGTAAGAGCATCCTTCCTCAGATAAGGGACCAAGACTGCACGCAATATTCCAGATGTCATCTCACCAAGACCCTACATAGTTGCAATATGATATATGAAATCCTTTCACTATAAAGGCTATCATACAAATTGTCTCCTTTATTGCCTGTTGCAGCTGCATGGTTACTTTCAGCAACTGGTGCAAAAGGACACCCAGGTCTCAATGCACATTAACATCTTGTTATAAATTGAAAGAGGGTAATAAAATGGATAACCTCACATTTATCCACATTATACTTCATCTGCCATGCAATTGCCCACTCATTCAAATTGTCCAAATCACACTGAAGTATCTTTGTATCCTACTCATAGTTCACCCAACTTTTTCCAAATATTACATTTAATTCCCTCATTTAAATCATCAAGTCAGTTAGAGAAAATAAAGAGTGACTGCTTGAACCATGTTTCTCAAAAACAGAGAAAGAAAATAAGTAGTAACTATCTGTTTCAGCAAAGTTGATTATATTTGGATTACTACTAAAACAAGGACTAACTTAACATCTGGAATTTCCTGACATTAAACTAATTGCTCTTCCAATAATGGCTCAGTTCATCTTTCCCTCCCTCCCCCCTAGATATGAGGACGTTTTAAAAAAAAATGCTATCAGCTGGTTTAATATTATTTGGACCCCATAATTTAGCATAGTTGCCCATATGTAGATAGTTAATGCCACTCAAACACAAACATGTCAGATAACCTGTACACACATACCTTTCTGGATCATATCTTTAGTTCTAGAATTGGGGAATTTGATAAACATGTTTCCAAAACAAACCATCACATTACCTGAAAAAAAAAAAGAGATAGCAGGGAGTCAGCAATCTAAGTGGTCGACGAGCTTTGACAACTTAATATGAATAAGTTTTGCATGGTCAGGAAGGAGAGATCACATCTGAGACACAATCCAAGCGAGTAAATAGTTCAGGCAATTTGGAAGCAATGTGGGAATATGGCGCAGAGGGGAACAGGTGCTTTTTGTTTGTTTTTTTTGGCTTATATTTTGTAAGGTTTCTTTTTAAAAAAAAAGGATAAATTGAAGCCCAGAATCAGGGGCTCAGCCAAAAGAGTGTCACAGGTAAACCACAGGTTCATTGGTTGGTGATAGCTAGTAATTTGACATCGATTATAGGTTACTTTTAAATTGAAGGTAAATACCAGAAATTTTTACAGGCTACAAACTAAATGACCAATACAAATAGTTCTTAATTTAGCTTTTTAAACAAAGTAATTAAAATGGAAATGCCAGGATGTATTGAGCCTAAAGACCCCACTGTGGTTGAGAGTGACCACATCTGTAGCAAGCATTGATTGCTTAAGGAACTCCAGCTCAGGGTTCGTGAGCTGTCGTCTGAGCTTCAAACACTTCAACACACCAGGAAGGGGGAAGAGTTACCTGGACACACTGTTTCAGGAGGCAGTCACACTCCCTAGATTAGTTACCTCAAATTTAGTCAGTGGTCAGGGATAGGAGAGTGTGACTACTAGCGAGGCAGGTAAATAGATCCAGGAGGTAATGCTGAAGGAGCCTCAGGCCTCAACCTTGTCTAACAGGTTGGAGATTCTTGCAGATGAGAGTGGGGACTGTAGGAAAGATGAGCAACCAAACCACTGTGGCACAGGGAGCCATTCGGGAGGTGGGGGGTATATAGTTATAATTGGGATACTATTGTCAGGGGAATGGACCCTATTCTCCAGGATAGAGTCCCAAAGACAAAGACAGTGTTGCTTCCGCCAGTGCTTGGATTCATGATATATCATCTGAGCTGCAGAGGAACTTGATGTGGGAAGGGAAGATCCAGTTGTCATGATCCATCTAGGTACCAACGATATAGGTAGAAGAGGTAAAAAGGTTCTGCTGAGGGAACTTGAGCAGCTAGAAGCTAAATTAAAAAGTAATAACCTCCGGATTACTATGAGCCATGAGCAAATTGACAGAGGGGCAATAAGATTAAAGAGGTAAACGCGTGGTTCAAAGATTGGCATGGGAGAAATGGTTTCAAATTCACAGGGCATTAGCACCATTATTGGGGAAGGAGGGAGCTACACCAATGGGACAGGCTTCACTTGAATTTGCTGGGACCAGTCCTGGTGAAATATCTAAATAGGGCTGCAGACAGGGCTTTAAACTAAATTGTGGGGGTGGTGGGTTCAGTTGCATGGAGAATTATGGAAAAAGTTAAAGTGGGGGAGAGCTCAGCAGAGGTTATTAAAGTTTCCAAAACAAGTAATAGGACAGAAAGCGTGGAAAGGGTCAGGAATCTAACTTCAGGCACAGCAGATCAGGGAGCAACTATGAGAAGGGGGACAGTCAGCGCATTACTGAGGATGTTGTACTTACATGCATACAGTGTACGAAACAAACAGCAAGAAATGACATGGAGTTGGAAGGCATAGATTGTGTGTGGGCAGAGTTCAGAAACTGCAAAATGAAAGAAAAGACCATGATGGCAGTTGTGTCCAGGCCTCTGAGCAGAAGTCAGGATGTGGGGGAAGAAAATAAATCAGGAGATAGAAAAGGCATGTAAGAAAGGTGCTATTACAATAATCATGGGGGACTTCAATATGCAAATGGACTGGAAACAAAAAAGAACAAAGAACAGTCTGTGAGAACGTTTTCTACGGCAGCTTCAGCTCACTAAGGAACAATCAATTCTGGATTTGGTGATGTACATTGAGGCAGACTTGATTAGGGAGCTTAGGGTGCCCTTGCAGGGTAGTGACCATAATATGATAGAATGCACCCTGCAGTTTGATGGGGAGAAGCTGGAATCAGATGTAATGGTATTACAATTGAGTAAAAGGTAACTACAAAAGCACGGGCCCGGACGGTGTCCCCAACCGAGCACTCAAATCCTGCGTGGACCAACTGTGAAGGTATTCACTCTCATCCTCAACCTTTCCCTCCTACAAGCCAAAGTCCCCACCTGCTTCAAGACCATCATCATCCCTGGGCCTAAGCAAGCACATGCAACTTGCCTTAATGACCACCACCCAGTGGCTCGGACCTCAATAATCATGAAGTGTTTCGAAAGGCTGGTCATGGCCCACATCAACTCCCAGAATGCCCCGAACCCCTAGAATTTGCCTACTGACATAGCATTTCCACAGAGGATGCCATATCTCTAGCCCTGCACTCATCCCTAGAACATCTGGACAACAAAGACACCTACGTCAGACTCCTGCTCGTTGAAGGCAGAGCTGTAGTCAACACCATTATTCCCTCCAGACTGATCTCAAAACTCTGACCTTGGTCTCGGCTTGCCCTCTGCAACCGAATCCTCAGCTTTCTGCAGTATGTAGGTCAGTGAAGATAGGTAACTGCACTTCCTACACAATAACACTCAACACTGGAGACCCCCACGGACATGTCCTTAGCTCCTTACTGTTCTCCCTGCACACCTATGACTGTGTTGCCAAATTCCGAATGAACGCCATCTACAAGGTCACTGATGACACTACCGTAGTTGGACAGATGTCTAACTATGACAAGTCAAAATACAGATGGGAGATAGAGGGCTTGGTGACGTGGTGCAATGAAAACAATCTGTCTCTCAACGTTGGCAAGACTAAAGAACTTATAACTGACTTCAGAAAGAAAGCAGAATACATCCCCATCTACATCAACAGAGCTGAGGTTGAGAGGGTGGAGAGTGTCAAGTTCCTCAGAGTGACAATAACTGACAACCTGTCCTGGACTTCCCACATAGATGTAACAGTCAGGAAGGCACAACAACGTCTCTTCTTCCTCAGATGGCTCAGGAAATTTGGCACGTCCATAAGGTCCCTCACCAACTTCTACAGATACATCATTGAAAGCACACTGTCTGGGTGCGTAACCATGTGGTATGGCAACTGCTTTGTCCTGGACCGTAAGAAACTACACAAGGTGTTGTGCACAGCCCAGACCATTACAGAAGCCAACCTTGCATCCATGGACTCCATTTACATGGCTTGCTGCCGTGGAAAGGCTGCCAACATCAAAAAAAAAACACCGCACCCCAGTAATGATCTCCTACAACCTCTTCAGAGAGGCAGAATATACAGAAGCTTGAACAAATGCACAAGCAGGTTCAACAACAGCTTCTTCCCGTCTGTTATCAGACTGATGAATGGACTCCCTAGCCTCAAATAATGCTGATCTTGCTAACATTGATCTTGCTTAGTGCACACCTTGTGCAATGTAACCTGTATGCCTCTAAGTCTTTTTGATCTGTACATCCTTGCAAACAAAGCTTTTCACTGTACTTTGGTACATGTAACAATAAAATAAATCAATGGGGGAGGAACTGGCCAGAGTTGCTTGGAAAATTCTCCTAGCAGGGAAGACAGTGGACCAGCAACAGCAAATGTTACTGGGAGTAATTTGGGAGGCACAGCAGAAATTCATCCAAGGAAGACAAAACATGCTAAGGGGAGGATGAGGCAACCGTGGCTGACAAGGGGAGTCAGGGACAGCACAAGAGCAAAAGAAAAAGCATACAATGTGGTGAACATTATTGGGAAGCCAGAGGATTGGGAAGGCTTTAAAAACAAAAAACAGCAGAGGATAACTTAAAAAAAAAAGCAACAGGGGAGAAAAGAGGAAATAGGAGCGGAAACTTGCTAGTAATATAAAAGAATATTGCAGGAGTTTTATTTAAAATATCTAAAAGTTAAGAGAGAGACAGGAATGGACATTGGACCACTAGAAAATGGGGCTGGAGAAGTAGCAACAGGAAACAAAGAAATGGCGGAGGATCGGAAATGGGCACTTTGTATCAGTTTTCAGTGAAAGACAGCAGTAGTATACCATAACTTCAAGAAATTTGGGGCGCAGAAGTCAGTCTACTGGCCATCAATAAAGAGAAGGTGCTGGGGAAGCTGAAATGTCTGAAGGCAATTAAATCACCCAAACCAGACAGACTACACCCCAGGGTTATGAAGGAGATACCGGAGGAGATTGCAGAACCAAAAAGTGATCTTTCAGGAATCACTGTAAACCGGGAAGGTCCCAGAGAACTGGAAAATGGTGAAAGTAACACCCCTGCTTAAGAAGGGAGGGAGGCAGAAGACAGGAAACTATAGGGTAGTTAGCCTAACCTTAGTCATTGGTGTGATTTTAGCGTCCATTCTTAAAGGTTGAGATCGCAGAGTACTTGAAAGTGCATGGTAAAATAGGACAGACAGCACAGCTTCATCAAGGGGAAGTCATGCCTGACATCTGTTTGAATTCTTTAAGGAGGTAACAAGCAAGTTAGATAAGAGAGCCAGTCGACATGATCTATTTGGATTTCCAGAAGGCTTTTGACAAGGCAACACACAGGAGGCTGTTAAACAAGATAAGAGCCCATGAGATTAGAGGCAAGGTACTGGCATGGATAAAGGATTGGCTGATTGGCAGAAGGCAGAGAGTGGGAATAAGGGGGTCTTTTCACGATGACAGCTGGGGACTAGTTAAATTCTGCAGGGGTAAGTGTTCAGACCACAACAATTCATGTTATCCATTAATGATCTGGATGAAGGAACTGAGGGTATTGTATCATCTGCAAACTTAGCAACAAAGATAGATGGAGGGAGGGACAGGTCGTGTTAAGGAAGCAGAGGGGCTGCAAAAGGAAGGACTTGGATAGGCTAGGAGAGCAAGCAAAGAGGTGCAGATGGAATACAATATGGGAAAGTATGAGGTTATGCACTTTGATAGGAAGAAGAGGCTATTTTCTAAACAAGAAAATGTTTTAAAAATCTGAAGCACAAAAGGACTTGGTAGTCCTAGTATAAGATTGTCTTAAGTTTAATATACACATTCA